TGTATTGTGCGTCTCACCTGTCTCACCCAGCTCGCTGCCCTATGAGGTTTCTCCCGAAGACGCTCTGGCTCAGCCTGAAGTCCAGCGACGCATCGACATCTCCATCATCAACCTGAAGAACCTGACGGACAGAGTCCTCAAAGCCATCACCGCCAGCCTCCACAAGCTGCCGTACGTCTCTGCCGCTGCTGCACGCCGCGTCACCAGTCTCTTCTCTGCTAAATGGTCGTCTGTGTTGTCGCAGGTATGGTCTGCGTTACACCGCCAAGGTCCTCAGAGACGCCCTGAAGGCAAAGTTTCCTGAAGCCGGTGAGGACGAGCTCTACAAGGTAAGAACACAGATCAACACACCTGAATCACATGATTAGTTCATTACCAGGCGTCCGGAGAACTCGAGACATGTAGAGGAGGTCGTTTAGTCGTTTAAAGCAGCTGTGCTGGAGCAAGGACTCATCTGAAACCTGCAGGCCTGGAGTTGCACACCGCTCAGGTGTGCTCAGGTGAGCATGATGATGGAGGATGTGTGATCAGCAGATTTGGAGGTCTACAGAAATCACAGCTTGCAGGTCGGAGCTGAGACTTGATTGGTTGCTTGACGTGAAGCTTGGTCTCTGTACGGCGGCGGGCCTTGAAGTCAGAACCACGTGGCTCTGACGCCGTGACCTGAATTGAACTGCTAACGCCGAGCCTGCCCTACTCCCCGCAGATCGTGGGTAACCTGGTCTACTACCGCTACATGAACCCGGCCGTCGTGGCCCCGGACGGATTCGACGTGGTGGACCGTTCGGCCGGCTCTGCTCTGCAGCCCGGACAGCGCCACATCTTGGGCTCCATTGCCCGCGTGCTGCAGCACGCCGCTGCCAACAAACACTTCCATGGAGGCGGCTACCACATCACAGCCCTGAACCAGTACATCAGCCAGACCCACAGCAGGTTCAGGTGGGTTTCAGGTGACCTCGCTGCGTTCTGAGGTGTCGGGGAGGTGGAGGTTCTCCTGACGGTGTTGTGTGTCTCAGGAGGTTCCTGCAGTCCGTCTGCGACGTTCCTGAGCCGGAGGACAGATTCAGCATGGACGAGTACTCGGAGCTGCTGATCGTGAACAGACCCGTGATCTACATCTCTGTGAGCGAGCTGCTCAACACGCACAAGGTCAGGAAGCTCCGCCTCCAGCTGTATCGTCATCTTTTCGCTGCACGCGCACCTGTACCTGGTCTACATAAACCCTCACGTCTCTCTGCAGCTGCTGCTGGAGCATCAGGAGGTTTTGTGCCCGGACCCCTCAGACCCCCTCGGCCTGATCCTGAAGGATCTCGGTCCGGTTCCCGGCCTGCAGGAACTCACCGGTACAGCCAACCGATGCTCCGCCGTCGCCATCCGGTCTGAGCCGAGTCTGACTGTTTTCTGTCCTCCAGGTGAGTCCGCAGCTGATCCGGGATCAGACGCTCAGAGTAGCAAGATGGAGGTCTCTCTGACCCTGACCAACAAGTTTGACATCTTCGACGACGCCAACGACAAACCGGACGCCAGAGGACTCCTGCTCAGGTAACCCCGCCTCTAAGCCTTTACCTGCTCAGTGTCTGTCAGAGTTTACCTGAATATAAAGAAGAACCCGGTGTTCACAGAAAATATTTGTTTGTTTGTTTGTTTTTTCCAGCACCAAGCAGCTGATCATCGATGTCATCAGGACGCAGTCAGGTGACTCTCTGCGTGACATCCTGAGGACGACACCGTCACGCGACCAGGTAAAACTCGCACTAATAGGTTGGTTGGTGACTGGCACCCGCTGCAGTCTTGATGTCTAGAGATGGCACGATACCACTTTCATGACCGATATTTGATCTGTCGATACCGACATGAATCCGATATAGTGTGTTTATAATCAATAAAACGTTTTTGTTTTTTAATATATTGCTGCATTTTGTACAAGTTCATACTCTAGTTTTAAAAAACAAAACACTAAAGCTATTCTGTTAAACCTGTATGCAAGAAACACACCGCACCCAAAATATTTCATAGTTCAGCAAAACTGATCAATCTAATCAACTTAAATCCTCCATCCTCCCTGTTCTGGTGTTTTAAAGAGCACTTAGCAGAAATATTAAACAACCTGACTAACAGGGCTGCAAACT